GCTCTCTAATCGCGTTGGTGCAGGCGCCACCATACACACCCGAACGGAGTTAGGACCTTACGATCATGTGCCGCCTTCCCCTCCCCACTTCCCCCTCACTCGAATCGAGCGCACGCCTATGCGCACACTGGGTGCGAACGTCCACTCAAGCCCAACGAACCAATCAGGCGTCTGAACGGGGTTCAGCAGCGCGAAAATAACGCGGCGGGTGCGGAAGGACCGCCAGCGGGTTCGTGCATGCACATGTGTGTGTGTCTGCCAGCTAATTTATGTTCATCGTCGCGAGGCGCGCAAGATAGCGTGGCAAGATTGAGAGAGTGGATAGGAAGGAGGGGGTGAGAATGGGGCACTGCACCTAAGGACGATCACGACCACGACCGCGACGACTACGGGGGTGGCTATCGTTGGTGAAATGGAGGTGGCAGACAAACATCGAGACTCAGACGCCATAAATTTAGGCCACCTTTCCGACGCTATTATCAAAAGGTGGGACTCGTTTTTATGAGTCTGGCGGGGCAGGTTGAGAATAAGTCGGGCTATGTTAAGTCAAAATTACACCAACGAAGGAGTCTGGGTTATGTTTAGGACAGAACCCGGAATTTGTTTACAGACTTTTCAATGATTTCGTTCCCCCATCCCCTGGTCCACTTGTCTTACCGTAGTAGCTTTCACCAAGTAAACAGCTACTCTATCAACAAAATTTGTTCTAGAAGGGCAGCAAAAATTGGTCACCACGATCAAACGTTGCCGACACTGCCCGGTGTGGATTAAAATGTATTTTTATTTGTCTTGTATAAAAATCAAAATGGAGTCATTTGAGCAACAGCTGCTTCCACAATTTTTCAATACGACCCATACCCGCCTGTTATTCGTCCACTCACGAAAATATCCGGTTCCGTAAGGATGGGATTTGAACAGATGAAAAAATATACCACTTTAATAATGCAGCCCACCAGGGTCCATGAGGATCATCAGCATCTTGCTGTATTTTAAATTAGTCTTACAAACGCGCTTCTGAAGCCACGCACCTACGAATGGATAACTAAGATAGGGGAATGTGGGCTTTCATCAGGCCTTTCTACCGTTCTATTAAATCTTCCATCTTGGAAAAACAATATAGGACTGAAATCCTTAGACTACTGCAATGCCAAAAGGGATATCTCAAGAGGGCTCAAAAATATCGCAAAGAAATCTATCTAAAACACCATGATTGGGTTTGAGATATATTTCGGTCTTGAAACAGACTTGTTGAAACTTGCGCATTTCAATGGAGGTCAACAGCGGTTTTGTAGCACAATTTGTTAAGGGCATCCTAACTTTTATTGCCAATCGCATTTCACATAGCTCCTTTGAACGCTCAATTTTGAGCAAGGGAAAGCTTTTGCTACCATGGCGACATATTATTTAGCAAATTAAAAGCTGATAATCGGTTTAAATTTTCAAGCAGGTTGATGTTATTTACTTCTTGCTTTTACGCACAAAAAATGGGGAAATTATCGGTGGTGTCCAGTTTGTTTCTACCTGTTGTCTAAAAATTGGAGTATTTCCAGTGGATATGATAATGGAATCGATCTTACTATCGACGCCATCTACTAAGACAATCGGTGGAATTACTCGTGAGTTGTTTAAGTGTGAAGTCTGAAAAGAAGATAGAAATGGACTTTACTGATACCACAATGCTGCCTGTTGAAGCACCATTTATCTGCATGCACATAAAACTCAACTGAAACGAATGAGGTTAAGCCAGTACAAATGTCCAACTAGTTTTAAATGCCTGCAGATCCCTTTTATTCACGAGGCACGAAATGATCATAGGAGTAGACACCTCGTGAACAGAAGAGCTTCATAATGCTGAGATTAACGCATTAATGCCAACTTACCTACTTTTTAATAAAACTGTAGATTAAATTTCGATGTAACGCGTTTACGGGTTGGGGAAATTTCCCTAGCGCGACATTTTGATCCAAACGTTACAGTGGCTTGCGCACACGGAATTGCGCGGTTTGATGAAGGGAAGACTCGACCATTATCCTTTCAATCCTTTTTAAAAGCCGCCGTTCTCAAATAAGTAAGGCGCGGTTCGGGTCAACAGAGCGGAAGGGCGTCCATGCGATCAAATAGTATCTGAAAGAGCCACAATGGAGCAATGACTTTGAAGTCGATAGTTTGGCACAATGAGGCACACGTGGGAATTAGTCAGACGTGTATTCACCCCTCCTCTCGCACTCGTGGCCCACTTTTGCCAGTCGGTAGGCTGGTCGAGCGGCCAGCCGGTGTGTGCTCCTTTGAAGTTCGCGGACACCGTGAACGTGAGGCTCGTGCGTCCGGCGATTAGGCGGTGCATTTGACTATGGCTGCGTGTGTGTGCGTTTGCTGTGTGATTCACATCATCGTCTCCACAGTCTATGCCGCCGCATCAGGGCGTGAGGTGATTTGAAGAGTGGGAGAATATAGCCTCTGCATCTGCTCCATTCCGATCGACACCCGCTTTAGCGCAACGAATACAGGTTACGCAACTTCAGAGTCCGACCCCCTAATTTGTAATCCTGAGAACTTCTGAGGAATGTGCGTTAGGCGGTCTGGTTTGTGCTCCACTCCCCAGTACACGTAATGATTCGGCTTCACCTGGATTCTTTGAAATCCTAGAGGCGTTTCCTTCCTAATTACTCTACCTGCTTTCCAATAATGCGACCAACTAGACACAGCTAAACAGGTGTCCGGTTTTAACTTCACATTGGTTTGCACACAGTCAGTTGTGCTTTCACCTCTGTTTGCGACTTATCCTTTTAATTTCCATCTCTCCGAAGGAATAAAAACGTTCACGTCCTAAAACCTTACTGCATTCCAGCAAGGCAAATGTATGACAGGTTTACATGCAACATAAAGATCCAACCTAGTGACCATGAGATATTGTACAGTAGAAATTTTCAGGAATTAATTGAAACAGTTCATTTGCATATAGTTCTAGGCCTGGCATAAATGTTTGAACCACGCAACAATGTTTTGCAATTTGCCAAACAAGAGGAGTACTATAAATGGAGTAAAGGCACGCGGAAAGAAGCAACCGTGAGAACTGCAGTCATAAAAAAGAAAAATAGGGAGAAAAGTAACTATAAAGGGACATGATGGGTGTAGCTTAATGTCCGCAAATTTCCCAAGTCAAAGAATTCGTGAGATCCATGATCCGATTAAGTCTTGGACAAATGGAAGCGCTATGTGAACACTGCCAGGAGTCTCGACTCCATAAGACGGTTTTTTTGTTAGGCAACAGGTAGCAGCTAGATGAGGCATGCAAATTTATGAACCATACGCCATTTTCAGGCCAGCAATTGCACCATGGCTGTGAATCTATTCATCGGGGAGGCCAACACAAATATGGGGGTGGGAAGTGTGGGTGGGTTCCCTTTCTCTCTCTCTCTCTCTCTCACTCTCTCTCCTCGCTCAGACTAATTAAACCGCCTTGGGTGAATGGAGATTGATGTGTTGCCGTGAGGTATTTCTCTGTTTTGTTTACGGAGATGCTGGAGGTAGTAACGAATTCCGAAATCACTCATGTAGGAAGGGACTTGGTGCTCCTGTCGTGGTGAATCTAGCAAGGTGTGAGCCACAGGAGTTCTTGGTAGTATGAACACCTGGTAGCCGAAATCCTGTGCCAGTTTATTTTTTAAGATGTTGATACCTCCCTAATGTCGTGATAAAAGCGTATTTCTTACAGGCAGGCTAGCATTTACTCCGGTTTCTGCACTGAGTTGGTTTCAAATTGAAGAGTGGGTTTAACTTGCAAAAAGGGACGTCCCTGATATTTTAGCAGCCTTGAGAAAAACCCCTGAAAATGCATTCAATGTTGGCATTAATCAGGACCAGGCAATTTATCACAATGATTGGTATAGGCCAAGCATGTTTTGGTGAATGGTGTCTAGTCGGATCTCCATTTGACATCCAAGCACTGGGACCAGCTACGGTGCCAACCACACACTCTACGTGTGAATTTGTGAATGATTTTGTCTGTTTTCTCCTTTTGGTCTTTTTATTTCATTACCCAATAAATAACCCACGATTTATTTTTTAATTAACCATAAGGATTCCACATTTTTTCAGTAATTTAACAAGTAGACGACTCCCTCGCTCTGAAGATTCGAAGCTGAAAAGTGGATAAAATTCACCCTCCGTCTCACGCTTTACGTGGGCCAATTTATTCTTTTTTTTTTTGATGCCTTTTTTTTATTTTGAAGATCCAAAGTTAAATAGTTAAACAACATTGTGTTTTTGAGACAAAAAAACTTGGAATGCTTTAGAAACTGCTCCAGCTTACTTCGATTTGACCGAATGTTTCGCCTATGAATCGGTGGTGCAGAAACCACTCTACTTGGTCCTCGAAGCATGACAAATGAAGAAATCCATTCTGGTGGGTATTCAAGGGCACTCATCACGCCGGAATATAGAAATCATGGCAACAGTCTGCAATTAAATTAAGCCACAGAATGCCAAAATAATCCAAACGAGGGTGATATTTCCCTGGTCTGATCGCAGATCACCCAGGTTATTAATCTTCCATTGGAAAAACTCCCAACTCTTGTAAATCGCAATAGTTAACTATTTGAGATAAAGGGCACAAATGGAGCAAGTTTTAGCCCTATCCCCCTGTTCTGGAAGCGATGGTATTGCGATTTGGTCAGTACTTACGAAATTTCTGCGAACTTGCGTTATACTCTTGAGAGTTTACTCTGCAGATGTAGATGCCGAAAACGTGCAAGATTCTACCATTTAGCGATTAACCTGCAGCAGTTAGAAACTTGACAAATGAGTTAATAATGGACGCTGTTTGAATACGAAGCGAAGAAATGCTACATTTGACAGTACATTTAATAATAGTTTGATACATTTGACTCCCCTGGGACAAAAGAAGCTATTGTCCTGAGTGCATGAACTGCAAGGGCCTTGGAAAGTGAATGAGTCTATGTGTAACAAAAATGATAACCCTATATTATTATTTTAGTGCGATGTCACATATCCGCGACGCGGTCTTTGTCAGTGTGCTTAATCACTTCGCAAATGGATTTATTGCATCTCAAGCGATAAAAGAGGTGGTGAATAGTTTGGCTCGGAGAATAATCGTTGTGAGAAAAAGTTGATTTCTTATAAAATATTGTATGCTAGTTGTCCTAATCTTGTAGAGGCATTTATCACCTACGGAAGAGTTCCGACTACCCCCGGGACAGCTCAGCGCCAGCCTTTACGACCCGCGAGTGTGAGATCGCCCGCTATCACCTTGGCTTCCGGCCACGACAGGCGAGGTTCTGTAACCATCCCCGCCTTGGCTTCGCTATGTTGCCGGTGCTGCGAGCAGCGCGTGCTGTCGGCTTCCACTGCCCCGACACTTTCTCTAACAGGCGGTGGAACTGCTCCTCAGTTGAGGCGCTGCCTCGCATGTCACCCGAACTGAAACGTGGTGAGTTTATGAGGTGGGATGCATATTCAGCCAGAAAAATTGTCTTTAGCAATTAGTTAAATTTTGTGTTAGTCAAGTTTACTGAGCTAACTGTGGTTAGACGAAATGGGAAAAGTGTGTTTGCTTACAAATTGTGTCACGAAAGTGAGACAGCTTAGCTCAAGTGGCCCATCTTTCGACGGCCACTTTTATTTCCCAACTGCCCTATCATGTGACTATCTAGTCCCCAGAAAAAGGCTACATCCACTAGGAGAAAAATATCAGGGCAATGTGAAGGGTGAGGACGTGGCAATGTTCCCCGTCCATCCAAAAGTGCAATTCTCACGGTTACGTATTGGACGCAGTTGTTTGGGGTTACGAATCCTGCGTTCTTTTGTAATACTAAAAGTGAAACTTCCTCTCGACCGATTTTCTGGTTCTGATTGTTTCTAATGAGGACGAGAAGGAAGAGGAGGAGGAAGCTTGATTGCACGCATTGCAATTGCATTAAACCGAGTATATTTCAGCCATAATTGCCGTTTGATCGTCAGAAAATGGAAATTCACAATGAACAATCGCGTCGACAGTTCATCACACACATGGGGTACGAAGCAGTTCCTTCGTTGTGTGCAGTGGGCACAGAGAGTGAATCGTTCGGTGACAACAGATGAGGTGTTCGTTTGCTCCAAGTTGGAATGCAAAGATCGTTTCTCATCACTGGTCAATCAGTGAACAATCTTAAAACGGTGTTTTTTATAAAGTGAAGTGAAGTGAAGAAATGAAGAACGCATTGGTGGTCATCGAAACCTGTTGTCTGTCATCTGTTAATGCATGGTACGTGGATGCGACCCATTTGCTGAGTACCTTCCACCGCTTTCTCTCCAAATTGATGTAGGTGAAAGGTAATTTTTTACCACAATCAATCACAGTAGACTCTACGGGACATCGTTTCTAACACCTTCATAGCAGGCAATTTGCATCCAATGTGAAACAGCATTGGTAAGTAAGAATAGAGGATCTGCATGAATGCGATGTAACTACCAGACGAATGCGATTCCTTACCAGCGTCAAGGCATCCATTTAATCCACTTGGCTCTGGGCGGGCAGTTCAATTAACGTGTACCGCACCTTCTCCAGCTCTTACACTAACTTTATATGCGACTTCTGTAGCTTTGTTATGGAGTTAAACTTAGTTTGTGAGGCTGGCTAGCTCGAATCGCTTTCATCGGATCCTTTTAACCGAAAAGTGATGATAGACAAGGAAGGCAGTGAAAAACAGTAGAGAGCGTACAGCGCCATAATTGTCAACAACTGTATGGGTTTTACAGGTCCCTGCTCAAACTTTTTCGGGCATTTGAAAGCTCTGCTGCTCGATTAACACATTCCCCATATCCATTTCCTGAGAATATGGGAAGATATATTACTAATGTACAGAAGAGTTGAGTTGCTACTGGCATGGTCCGGAGGCCGTGCCGGGAAGTGGAGGTACAATGGCGGAGCCTTCATTGCCCGCTTAATTAAAATGCAGTGTTGAATATTCAACGTATTACCGTAGATTTGTCATCACTTCACTTTTGAACTGTCAGATATCATTCTATTCCAGTAGGTTTTTGAGGTAGAAATTCGAATTCTTCCTCATGAACAGGGTTAATTTTTCTCGTTGCTGTGGCTCCGTTAATCAGCATAATCGAAAAATCCTTTGGTCCCTTATGAATGTTCTCTCTGGAATTCAGAAGTATGGTTATTTATCAACCATAATTTGTGGTATGAACAGTGCTGTAAGATGCCAGTTGCCTTGTCCTGCATTCGCCTTATGGAATGTAACAATTATATTCGGATCGTCCTCTGACTTGGATTGCCACTGAAGACCTCAATTAGGGTTAACAAATTAAGAAGTCAACTCGAGTCTTGTGGTAGTTTTTTATGTCAAGTCAGGAGTGAGAGCTATTGATAATCTCTGCAGCCATTTTGGAATTTTGCTGGTAAGGACGACTAGAGCCTAGTGACTTCTCAGTTTGAGGAAATTGAAGTGAGTATTTTCGTTACCGTAAGAGTCAAATTTACTAAGACTCTACACCTCTTTTACATCAAGGCACAAGGGAACAAGCAATTGTACATGCTTACGCAGCAGCCGCGCTAATATTCGAAATCGGTCGCTACTGCGCCTTAAACAAGATTCGCTATTGCTCCTGCGGTATGACCGGTGGCACAGAGATGATAATCAGTCCCGAAGGTGGGCAGATGTCTCGCTTTCCTCAGGGTTACGTGCCTTCCCCACGCGTGCGTCGCCAACTGGATATGGCCAACTTTCGCAAATTCAGCGACGCCATCTCCTTCCAACCAGAAGTCTCTCATTCACAGCACCAAAAACAATTCCAACAAATGCAGACCCAAGTGCAGAACACGCACTATTGGAGTGGTTGTCCAGACAACGTGGACACCGCACGTAGCTACGTGGCGCAGTTTTTGGGCTTTGATGAAAAACGCCTTCTTATGGTGGGCTATCATCCACGCAGCCACTCCGTCACTCCCTACACCACCTCCTCTTCCGCCTCCTCCTCTTCCTCCGCCTCCGTCGGCTCTGGTTCCTCCGTCTACTCAACGCCCTTTAAAAATCCCTTACAGAATGCTGAGGACTCAGCGCCCTATGGATTCTACATGCCTCCCAGTACCAATCTACCGCAGCCATACCTAAAAAGGAAGACTAGGAGCGCCGAATCTGCTAAGGCAGATACTAAGAGCCTTCATCGGAGCTCTAGACGCACAGGCAGGAGGCGAAGACAGCCTTCGAAGATGAAATTGACGAACCAGCATAACTACATGGCTGGTGCCTGGGTACGTATCATTTTGGTCTATTGAAAGAAAATCTGCTATGCGTGCATACAACATTCCTTGGTTAAAACCGCAAACAACAAAGCCTCTTTCAAGTTTTGTTAAAAGTAGTGTGCATCACAATGACCGCCGTTGAGTTACTTGACATATGAAGGAGACAAGGGTAGCTGCTTCAGGCAAATCAACTAGTTAGTAAATCTTGCATGAGCGTCTAATCGAGAATGACTTGGCTGTGCATTTCAGATGATGATCGCACTTCAAAAACAGTCATGCAAATGTCATGGTGTCAGTGGAAGTTGTACACAAAAGGTCTGCTTCCGACAGCTCCAACGAATTGATACAGAACCGATCAAGGCTGCCCTTCGACAGCGCTATCTGGTAGGCTGCCTACAAGTGTTTTTCAAGTTCATATCCCTACAACAGACATTTCTTTACTGGATGTCATGTTACTATTATCACGAAGATGACCCCTCAATTTGTCAATTTTTTGGTTCCCCAACTACCTCGCCATTTATAGCTTCACTTTTAATACCTTTTAAGGGCACATTTCTCTATTTAAAAGTGTCCTACCTCCCTCTAGACCGCGAAGATGGTGTCAGGGATTGCAGACGGTAACCTCATGGCCTCTGTCTTCAAGGAGACGGACTTTGTCGATGAGTATGTTCAGCTGGAGGACCTCGTTTTCACCCAACATTCACCGGATTACTGTGACCCTGATCCTCAACGTGGATCTCTAGGTACTCATGGAAGGTAACAAATCTTATATTTTACCAGTTCTTTGCTCAATCAGTGGTTTCTACATTCGTTGTTCTTCCGATATTTAAACATCCATTTATTGGAGAATAATATCAACAATTGCCTCAAGTGTTATGAAAATGAATGGTTAACTGTTAGGTGAGAAGGTAGCCCTATTAATGTACCATAGCCTAACGTTTCAGAAACTGGAAATGAAGATTCAAATGTAATTGTTCCGTAACCGTCCACAGTGCAACCCATGATGTTTTGTCCCAAAGCGGCAAAATGATGGAATTTTCACTCGATTTTGATACGGCTATAGTGGTTTTGTATTTGTGTCCTTACTAAACAACCCCAAGACTTGAGTGTCTAGTAAATACACCAGTCGCTGTGAGGAGGATGTACATGACTTTCAGACAATGCAATTTGAACACCACCGGCGATGGAAGTTGCATGAACATGTGCTGTGGTCGGGGTCACAAGAGCACCACGCACCAGATCTACGAGAAGTGCAATTGCATTATGCAGCCCAACTTTAAGGTACACTGCCAGACGTGCATTCGCAATGAGGTGCGGCACACGTGCCTCTGAGCCCCACCACCGCCATCGCCACCGAAGAACCCCTCCACCACTACCCCACATCCACGACCTATCTCAAAGGAGCAGAATAACATACGAAGCAAAAATCGTTCACACACACACATAAGTCATTCTTGTTACCTCTTCGTTCCGCACACACCAGACCTGCTGTTTGTAAATATTTCCTTCTCCGTCTATCCCATCCAATCAGACTGCCAGTTTGACACGCGATACGTGCATCTCACCGGCACCATTCTCAACTGTTCCATTCGCCACACGCACAAACACGTGCACTCCATCCACACCCAGTCTTCCATCAACTTTGTTGGTAAAATGTTGCCTTTTTGACATATTCACTGAGTTGCTTTTTTTGCTCTGCCTTTAGCAACCACCAGAAATGACGCTTGATAAAGACAATGTTTTTCTAACAATATAAGATGTTACTTAGCACAAAGAGCGATGATAGAATTAGTTACCATTCTAGTGGTATCAGGTTATGTTTCAAAGCTCGTGAGAAAGTCAAACGGTGAATAAATACTATCTTTTATAAAACCATTACTTAAGAACTCCGAAATAGTGTAACGGCAGCTATTCAAAAAATATTTGCTAGGGATTCTACCCCAAATTGTACTCACAATGTTTGACAATCAGCACAGGTAAACAAGTGATAAAAGCCTTGTTTCTTTGTTGTAAATACCCAAACTACATGTTCCCAAACTTATCCCCAACATATCGCTAAGATGTAAAGGACATATTGTTGCCCCCAGAGGCACCATGCAACATACCGAAATATAAAACCCCAAATCCACGCAGTGCTCTACTGAGGATCAGAGTGATTCACCAGACTCGTTCTATGCCAGTGTAGTGGACGAAAGTCATAAAAGACTACATTTCTTTGATCAATTCTCCCCTAATGCCCCCGCAAATCAGTAGGGCGGTCTGTTTCACTACTAAGCCACAAAACCGATGGGCAGGTTCGTAACCACATTAATCAGCAAACCCATCAAAACAGTACTTAATCAGCGTAGAGTAAGAGGAGCTGTCATTTCTACACTTAGTAAGCACAAGCGTTGATCCTAAGTGTTCGTTATAAAAGGAACCATGAATCTTGGCGGATGACTCTGACCCTGAAATGTCTTATTAGTGGTTTAGCATAACAATAGATTTAAATTCATTCGAATCTTAAATACTTTAATAAAACAAAGAGGATTACGCAGACTTAGTAAACTCACCAGGTAAAATCAAACGGTAGCCACATCAATGAACGCTAATGACAGTTTCAGTAAGTCGAAAATGAAAACAAGTGATACTAATGTTCTCAAAATCCTTAAACCTTCCGTTTTCAACAAAACGCAGTTAGTTTTAAATAAGAACAATTAAAATATGTGCGCATAATATATTCTACTAGGACGAATGACCGATTTATGTAGTGAATTCTGCCAATCCTAATAGCCGAAACGTACATCTGTACCTACCGCTAGAGATGACAGAAAAACCACTGCAAATAGAACAC